ATAGTAGTCTCTTGATACGTATAATGTTGTCACTGATAGTAAAATTTAGAAACTAGACTAATGGTGGAAAAAAGACCTTTTTTTTTGGTTCACTTCCATTTCTTGCAATTATTGATAATCTGGAAAGATGGATTTAAAATGAAGTTCTGCGCATTTGTACTCGTCTAATTGTAATCCAGCAAATTATGATTTCTGCAGTCAGTTATGTATAATTGTATACCATGTTTTTCCTTACTCCTTTGTTTGGATTGGTAAGGTGCAAAGAGAATCCAACAGTTGTCAGGCATGAGTCAAATAGTTTCTGTTCCTGTCAAGTATGAACTATGCTTGTTTTCTATAAGCGTGATTATAGTACATGAGCGATTGCTAAATGGATCATATTTTGCAAACAATTGCTATAGTTGTTAAAATTTTACATTCAGCCTATCTACTTTAAAGAAATTATCTTAGGCCATATCTACTTGTAAAGAAATGGATCTTAGGCCATCTAGGGAGACCGCCCATTCCTTTTTTAATCTGATGTTGGACTCTTCAACACTACAGAAGTGTATTGATACAATGACATAATACATAAATATGCCCTTTAACTTGGCATCAACTGACATCTATGCCCTTCAACTTTGAATGTGCACAAGTAGGCACTTAATCTCGTATAAAATTATACAAGTAGACACATGTGTTCTACGTAGCATAATACATGTAGGACACAAATTTTCCATGTAGGACGCCACGTAGGTCGAATGTGTCTATTTGTTCACTTTTATACAAGTTTTAGTGCCTACTTATGGACATCCAAAGTTAGAGGGCATAAATGTTAGTTGAGGCCAAGTTAAAGGGCATGTTTATGTGTTATGCCTAATACAATCCATTATCAATAACAACATACCTAGTGAAATAATTTTTTATATTTTGTAGTCCATGTGAGGTTTTCACTTTGTGTGTTGCTTTGATTACTTGTTTCTTATCTTGGTAACATGTCTGTCAGCTTTCAACCCTCTCTGAAATGCTTTTTCTTTCTCTAATGCCAACTTCTCCATCTGTAGGAGTTACTACAGATGCTCAGTTGCTGGTTGCCCTGTGAAGAAGCACGTGGAGAGGGCATCCCATGATCCAAAATTAGTCATTACAACATATGAAGGACAGCATGTCCATGATTTCCCAACTTCTAGGGCTATAAGCCAAATTTCAGTGGCACCTGATGCCGGTACAGCAGACATACGTGAAGATTCCAGAATTGAATCAGGTGAAAAGAAACATGTCGTAGAGTCCAAAACTGAATCAGGTGAAACCAAACATATCAGAGAGTCCAAAACTGAAGCAAGTGAAAACAAACATGTCAAAGAGTCCAAAGCCGAATCGGGTGAAAACAAACATGTTGGAGAGTCCAAAACTGAATCAGGTGGAAACAAACATGCCGGAGAGTCGAAACCTGAATTGGGTGGAAACAAACATGTCGGAGAGTCCATACCTGAATCGGGTGAAAACAAACATGTTGGTCTTGACATGGCTGTTCATATTGGTGCAAATTGAGTGTCAACCATCTGATGCAAAACAATCAACTTATCCAGAAGTAGAGTTCTTACTACACCAGTCTTCCAATCTTACAAATTTGTTCAATTATTCTCTTCCTGAAGGGGAGAAAAGAAGGTTACATTTCATAGGTACACTTCTTAACTTATTATTGGTGATGGAGCTGTGTTATCGTATATTCACTGTATAAATTATGTTTCTTAGCAAACGGGAAACGAATGTTAGGTTTTTATCAGAAATAACCAATTATTGACAGTTGATCAAGCTGTTTTAGCTTTCTGTAACTAGTTTGCAGATGCATTTTACATAAGAATTGAGTGATAACAGGGAACACTACATGGAAACCTGAAACTTAGAAAGTATCTTAATAATGAAATATTGTGCTTTCTAACTTGTCACTCCTCCCTGACTGTTCTGAAATTGAGGTATAGTTGATTGATTGATAACTTGTCGGTTGCTACTCCTCGTGGTCCTAAAATAGAATCGATGGTTTTGTAGATCTCTCTATTTTATCGACAAAATCCAGATACTTGAAGTAGGTACTTAGTGGAATAAGTCCAGGTGCGCACAAGTTGACTCAGATATCATCGTAATAAAAGAAAAGTTCATACTTGAAGATGTCTCTTGGCTCCAACTGGTAAGCTATTTAAAAGAATCAAATAGGATTGGTAAAAGGATATTCATCTTACAATAAATCTCCAATTATTCTTATAGTTTAAAAAATATCACACTAGAGTACATGTATACACATAGTCCAATAGACAAATTTAACATGATAAATGGCTCATAAATGTCAAAAAAATTATATACTATATCGAAGGGGAATCTTGGCATAATTGGTTAAGCTATCATATAATTAGGAAGCCATGAGCTCCAGCTGTGGGAACACGCTCTTGTAGAAATGTAGGGTAAATCTGTGTACAATAGATCCTAGTGGTCCGGTCTCATCTTGCAAAAATGCAAGGTAAGTTTATGTTCAATAGATTTATGTTGTCCGGTTCTTCTTCGCACCGCGCATAACAAGAGCCTTAATGAACCAAACTGTTTTTTTTTATAAAAAAAAAATTAAGTTCAAATTGTAAGTAAGTCTGGGTTATCATTTTAAAGGAAATTTATGCAATGTTTCTGAACAAAGTCAGGATGTGGATTGGATAGGCTGGTCTGACTGTTTGGGCCTTTGGATTGGGTTGTCTGCTATTCTTTCCATTTATTTAAGGAAAAAGATAACATCAAATCAAACATTTTATTTAAGGAAATTGCATTTTTGAAAATACCTGATCTTTTAAAATAAAAATATACTTGTTAATTAATTAAAGGTTAAATGAGTTTAGCTAAATATTATATTATAAGAATTAAAATAAAAATTTATCTATAATTGAAGGATGAAGAAGTATAAGTATTCTAATTTCGACAATATGAAGAGGAGCTTTGGAGCAATGATAAAATTATTTTTGTGTGACATAATTCACAAATTTGAGCCGTGGAATTAACTACTTATAGTGCTTGCATTAGGGTAGATTGTCTATATCATGGGTCAAGGGGTGCGATTATTTTTTAAACTTTGCTAATACATAATGTTTTGTGCATCATTTTTTTTACTTTTGGATAATATTTACAAAAATAATATACCTAGTGAAATTCCACCAAGTGGCCGGGTATGAATGTGGTAGAGTGTACGTAAACCTTACCACTAAGTCGTGGAGGTAGATAGACTGTTTCCAAAAGACCCTTGGCTCAAGTGCATCAAATCTAAGCAAAAGAAGAAAAAAAAACAATGAAGAACGCATAACTATTAATAAGAAAACAGTAAAATATCTACAAGAAAGAAACAATATAACAATAATGTAATAGTGCGATAATCGAAACACAATAAACAACATATGGCAAGAACTACAAGAGTTAGACTAGTGCTACGACATGCACTAACAAGCCTAAACCTACACACGTAAGACTACACTCCGCCCCTACTAACCTTTTACCTTAATCCGCGACCTCCACTCCTTCCTATCTAGAGTCATGTCCCCACGATAATATGAAACTATGCCATGTCCTGTCTAATTACCTCTCCCCAATTATTTTTTGGCCTACCTCTACCCTTCCGTTTACCCCTACAACTATCCTCTTGCACCTCCACACTGAGACGTTAATGCACCTCACTTAGACATGCCCAAACCATCTCAGTCTTGCTTTTCTTATCTTGTCCGCTACAGGGGTCATTCCCGTCTTCTATCATATAACCTCGTTCCTAATCTTGTCGTTCCTAATATGCCCACACATCTATTTCAACATCTTCATCTCCACAACGTGCATCTTCTGAATATATGCATAAGTTCTTGACTGACCAATACTCCACATCATATAATAAAAATGATCTAATCGCCGCTGTATAAAACTTACCTTAAACTTATATGGTACTTGAGCAATATTACTTTAACTTATTTAACTAGTGGACAACTTTCTTCAATTATATTAGAGAAATAATTTAGATAAGATGTATGAAAAGATTTGATGGTCTTGTCTTTTATTTTTTAACATGACCTCATTTTACTTATATAGAAAATTATTTGTTGGGATAATGCAACACTTGTCTAAGTTCATAGTACGTATCTTTGTGATCCTTTCAGTATGGGATACTTGTCTAGACAACTTTCTTGCCAAAAACAATTAATTTGTGAGTTAGAGATTCAAATTTTTCGTATGGTTAGAAGACACTTCCAACATAATTTTCTTCATATCCAGGGATCGAATTCGAGACCTCTAACTAAGGGTGAAGCACTCCCATCAATACAACACAATCCATGTTGGTTAGCTAATCACTTTTACTTATCCACAATAACCTTTTTACTCCTTTAAAAAATAATAAATATAATATGTTATGTGTATATTTTATCATAATATCCTTAATTATCAACATTTTTTAAAATCTTAGAAAATAAACAATTATTGAATATAAAACACTACATTTTTTTAATATTCTAAAAAAAAATACACACTTGAGCCGAGGATCTTTCAGAAATAATTTCTATATCTCCACGAAATAATAATAAAATCACTGTGTATTCTACTTTTCTCAGACCATACTTTGTGATATTTCACTAAATATATTGTTATTACTAATTTTTTTGTTATTATAATGAATAAATAAAAGTGTACGAGACTCTTTTTAAAAACCAGAGGAATACACGTGCTACATCCTCAGAGAGAAATCGCGTGGAAGTAAAAGGGAGCGACACAAACATATAATTCCGCAAATAACACAAAAACAAATAAATGGGGCCCATGTAGGGCCCACTTAGTTACAAAAAAGAGAAACAATATAGTATTATTTACAATGAAAATTTTATAGTAAAAAAAAAAAGCAATAAAAGAAAAGAAAAGAAAATTTAGCTGAATTTTTTCCTTTTTCCCTCTCTCTTAGCTCCACCAAAAAAATATGTAGAAAATTCAAAACCCTAAATCAATACAATTTGATTATTATTACAAGGTATGTAATTGATTTGTGTTTGTTGTTAATTGTTTTGTATGAAATTATAATCTCATTTTTTTATGTGTTTAGGTGAACTCAATTTTAGTTGTATTTTGATAGTGAGAGATGATAATAAGCAAAGAAAAACCACCAGAACCACTTGATTTCTTCATTTGGACAGTTGAGGTATTTTTTTTAAAATTTTTGGTTGAGTTTTTGATTATTTGATTACTTTTGTAGATCTTGCGAGTTTACTGTTATTTGATTACGTTTGGAGGTTGAGGATTTAGGTTTATGTTGTTCGGATTCTTCAAAAATGTTCGCGAGTAACTAATTTTAGAGAATCTGATAGGGGTGCAGCATTGAAAGTGAAGAGTCGATTAAGGTAGAAGAAGGTTAGTAGGTAGTCTGAGTGTTGTCTCCGTGCATTTTTAGTAGAATGAATACTAATCTCATCGGTTTTTGTCTTTTGATTTCTATTAACACTGTGGAACTCAGTTGATTTTTTCCGTCGGTCAGATTGTTGTAGATTTGGGTAGGGGGCTTATGATAAAAAAATGATTTTAATTGGGGATGAAACTGTCATCTATTACTTTGCTTCTTAACTAGGGAAGGCCATCCGTGCACTTCCATTGTTAAGCTACATAAATAGGAATTACGCAATGATGACCGGAGCTCAAAGGTTGCTAGATGTAGGCCTCACAAGATCGTTACCCTGTTGTGGGCAACGACAAGTGTGAAAAAATTAAAGTTGGTTTTTTGGAATATGATGAATTTTCAATGAAGTTTCTAGTATGGCCTAGTGTAATATCTTGGATACGTATCTTGAAGAAATATCTAGATCTTCTAGAGTATGGCTGGAAGATAAGTTAATTAGATTTTTCTTCTAGATATATCTAGAACAATATCTAGAATCATCCCTAGATAAGTATAAATAAGGGTTGTGCATTTATAACCAAACTAATGCAAGAAAGCTTTCTAGTATAACCAAGTTCTCATATCTAAAATCTCCCTTCTCTTTCATAGCTTCCTCTTCTTTAGTTGAATTCTCCAACCTTAGTTATCGATCTTGGGTCTCTCCAATTTATTCTCTCTCCTACTCCTTACTTGATATCAGAGTCATAGCCATAGGTTGGCTTTTGAAAATTTTGTTTCAAGATTGGGCCAGTGGTTGTAGATTCTACTCATATTTCATGTAATCATGTTGATAGACTGAGATAGAATTATTAAACCCGTCCAACTATAAGATATGGGAAACATGTATGGAATCCTACCTTGTTAGCAAGGATTTGTAAGAGGTTGTTAATGTGTAACACAAGTCCTCCTAGTGAATCGAGAATAGAAACACAATCAAGAAGTGGAAGGATACTGAAGTTGAGGCGAAGTTCATCCTAAAGAGGTCTATTTTCAATAAATTATTTGATCATATAATAAGGTGTAGATCATCTCATAAAATATGAAGGACCCTCGATTGGTTGTTCAATAAGAATGAAGCTCGACCATATATATTGGAGAATATATTGGCTAGCACTGGCTAGCACTACATCGTGTAATTTTTGAAGATTAAAAATTTATGTTCCAAAATCTCTCTGTTGTATTTAAACGAGGCTATCATTGAAGCACAAATAAGAACTATTATTTTTGTGGTTTAGCAAAGAATATATATCCTTCGTTACATCAATTTAAGGATGGTTTAACAAACATCTTGGAAGAAATTTGAGTATTTGCCATCATTAGAGGAGCTACTAGCCAGGTAAAGGGCTGGTGTATCTATCAAAGAAGGGGAAAGAAATGCTCTTGTAGTCTATAAGAGGAATTGAAAAGGAAAGTACAAACAAAGTTGCTCTAGAGAGGTGACATATTCTCAATTCCAAGATGGTTCAAGCTCGCCAAGAAAGAGTTTTACTTTCCTTTACATGCAGACAATAACAGACAATAATAAATTAGAGACTTTCTACTAGCCCAAGTTCGATAATTAAGGTTGGAGGACTCAACTAAAGAGGCCACATTGAAAGAGAAAGATGATTTTAGATAGAAAATCATGGTTATGCTAGAAAGCTTTTTGGAAATTGACATAGTTACAAAAGCACAAGACCACTCCTACTTATACTTGTCTAGGGATGGTTCTAGATATTGTCTAGATATATCTACAAGAAGGATCTACTTAACCTTACCTTCTTGCATGACTCTAGAAGATGTAGATATTTCTTCAAGATATTAACTAGGTCATTGTAGAAACTTTATTAAAAAGTCCATGATATTCCAAAAGATCAGCTTTAATTTTTTCACGCTCCTCCTTAAAGTGATTTTTTGGAAATTACTCTAAGGTTGACGATGAAGAACCCAAACGAAGCTTTAGGAAGTAACTTGGTGAACAAATCATCAATATTTTCCTGACTTCTCACTTCTAAAGTGTTTATAGTTCAATCAAGAATTTTTTTCGGATGAAATGATGTTCCACCTCAATGTGCTTAGTTCTTGCATGGAATATGGGATTATTTGCAAGCTTGATGACACTTTAATTGTCTCCAAAACTTCCTTTGGCTTTGATATAGATAAATGCTAGTCTCCGGGAACTTTGGATCCATACACATTCTTGATTCTTGAGTAGTAACAGTTGATGTTTTATATTCCACCTCCGTAATTGACAAATAAGTCGAGTCTTGCTTTTTGTTGCACCAAGAAATACCTGTTCCGCCAAGAGTAAAATATAGTTCGATATAGATCTTTGATCATCCAAGTCACCACCAAAATCAGCATCAGTATAACCCGTTAATATCAAATCATTCTTCTTTGGGAAAAAATAAGCCTATATCTGATGTTGAGTTGCTATATTTCAGAATCCTCTTCGCAGCTTCCAGGTGAGGCTTTTTTAGTGATTGCATGAATCTGCTGACATATCCTAACAAAGAAGGTAATATCTAGTCTTGTAATAGTCAAATGTAGAGGACTTCCAACAAGTGCTTGAAAAGGTTTGGGATCTGCAGAAGTGAGCCTCCGTCACTCCTTAACCTTGTGTTTGTCTCAATAGTAGCACACTTTTTACTTTGCTTTAGCCCAGACTTGTTGAGAAGTTTGTTGGCATATCCTTCTTGAGTGAAAAAAATGCCTTCACTTGTGCAACTTGACAAAAGTGCAAGTTCCATCCATTGGAATTCGTTCTCTACAAAAAAGGAAATATCTTACAAACACTGCTATTTCATTGGAAATTCTTAGCATCTCCAAGGTGTGGGAAGTTTGAGTTAGTTTCACTTTAAGGCATCTTTACCACAGCCTTTTACCTGACTTTTAGTAAATGGCCTGTTCCATCTTTATGTTGTTGTTGTTGTGGTGAATTTTGTATCCTACATTCTACTTCAATGTTTGTGTCACAACTTTTGGTAACAAATCCATCTGACAGTTGCACCAGAATAAGACTAAGAAACTTAGTATTGATCAATTAGCTCTAATATAGGGAGGAAGAGACAAAAAATTGTGGTTATGGTGGAGAAATTGAAAAAGAACACTTGCACAGAATTTGACATAAGAGGGCCATATTGGAGAGACGAAGTGATGAGTTTTCTCCCGGAAGACTAACTAAATCATAAAATGGTTCTTTTTCTCCTTTCTTCTTTTTTCCCCTCTAGTTTTGGGGTGGGTGGGTGGTGGGGTTAAGCGTTATTCATGCACAAGCTTAGCACTCTGTTTTGGCTCCCTTTCCACCTTCCTTGGAGTCAAACTCTCTGTCAGCAGCTCCTTGGTCTGAAACTCATGATCTATTGTTGGGCCCTTAAACAATCATATCTTCGCCTCTGGTCTTGAAAGCAATCTCATCTGGAAAGAGGAAGAGGTTCTAGAGAGGGAATATCAACCGTTTATCCGTAGAAAAAGTTTTTCTTTTTTTTTTCGCAATCTTCTTTTATTTCATTTTGTTTAGCAAAGAACTACTTGACTAACTTTCTTGACTTTGCAAAAAGGTGTCATACTTGAGAATTTTGTCATTCTAAAATAGAAGTAAAAAATTGATTGTTTATTTTGTTGACTCCGCCTATAAGAGCGTTTAAATCCTTTTAGATCACTCTGTCTCTTTTTTTGTTTCGAAACTGGTACTTTTAAGATGACTTTGTGTCTATTCTGGACAACTATATAGCTGGTTTAATATGCAGTTACTATCTTTGGTAGTGCTTGGTCATCCATGATCTAAATGTGTCGATTTTTGAGGATTAGGCATCATGCAGGGTTAGATGGAAACAATAAGTTGAAAGGTGTAAGGTTGAAAACATACAATTACTGTTTATATGTAATTTTGAATCTTGTAAATTGCCATCAGCAAGTAATCACATCTGAAGTATACATATATGCCTTTCTGTCCTACTAGTGTGTAGGATGACAATTTATCTATATTGTGTATAGACTGATGAGTTGGAAGTGATATGGATGACATTTTAGTTAGATATTTTGCCAATTTAGTAGCGGAGTCAAATCCATAGACATATGCCAAGGTTAATGTAACATCCATGATGCGGGGCAAGGTCCAAGTTGAGGAACAGAGTGACTTGGTTTATGGGAGCATCTGTTCCTTGTGTTCTTCAAAACCTTAAAAGAAATAGTGAATGGATAATACTTTGAATGATTTGAGCTCATGTAATTAAGAGGTGAAAAAATTTATTTAGTAGGTTTAGATAACTTGCTTGCGAAGAGGTCCCTCCTTCTGTCAAGTTTTGTATGATAAGTTGGCATACTGATTCACTATTACAAAGAGCTTGATATTCTTTTTTATTATTCTTTGGCATAATAAAATACGTCCACGAGGGAATGCAACAATGACTGACATTCTGTTACTGCTCTTGTTTTTCCAGGATGTAGGTTTATGGTTAGAAGAAATAAAGCTTGGTAGCTATCGTCAAATTTTCAAAGAAAATGGTGTTAATGGAGAGTATTTGGAGGGGATGTCCATGTTCACGACTGAACAGATTCTCCGGTTTATAAGAAGGTGCCACATGAAATGGGGAGACTTCATTACGTTGTGCAAGGAGCTGAGGCGGATAAAAGGTTCCTATAATCTCTCTCTTCGCTCACAGATGAAACCATATCTCTTAGTTTGACAACTTTCTTTGTCTATCTTTCCAGCAATATGATTACGTTTTGTTATGTTGTTTTTAATCAGCTTTGATTGGTGACTCACTCGTGTTTTCTTTGTCATGTGATAAAAAACCCTTTTGCAAAACTTGAAGTTGGGACTTATTCACTTGCCAATACGGTGTGATGGTTCCATCGCGTTGCCTCTACCTAGTTAGTTATATGTGCTCTGTTTTGAATTCCTCGGATTTTGCAGACATATTCGGTGATCTGGTTTTGATTGTAACGTCAAGCACTGTTGACATTCTCTAAAACTCTCTACCGTAGTAAATCTTTAACAGATTTATAAATTGTTGCTAGTGAGATACTCTATTTTTGAGATAATTGGTAAAGTTGCTGCCATGTGACCAGTAGGTCACGGGTTCGACAGGTGGAAACAAAATGCTGGGTAAGGCTGTGTACAATAGATCGTTGTGGTCTGGCCCTTCCCCGGACCCCAAGAATAGCAGGAGCTTAGTGCACCGGGTAGCCATAATAACGGAAAGCTATTGAAATACTTCAGTGAATCTGCTGTTGCTATTTAGGAATGAAGTTTCTGCTATTCTTTTACTATTTGCTAATGTCCTATAGTTCCTTTTATCTATATTGACTTAATTCATGTCTTCAGTGGCTTGCTTGAAGGGAGAACAAAGAGTCCGGCGACCATGGTGGGCCCCGTCTTGTATCTCCATAGTGTTTATGAAGACAGCCAAGCGTAACAGGCAGTGTAGAGTGGTTTCGCTGAAGCTGGAACCTTAGACACTAATTACGCCAATACGCCATCTGTGCGCATCATTAGTTATAATATCAAATCGCTCCCCGTCGGTTATTTCCCTTGTAATCCCCCCCCCCCCCTCTCGCCCAAGCCTTTATGTATACGTAACGTTGTAGTCTTTACATTTTTAGTTTGTGATGTTTATAGTATCAAATCAAGAAAATAGATGACTCTTATGTAAAATTCAATGTGTAATGTGTGAATAGTTTCTAAACTTGAATTGTAAGTTTAGCACTAGACAATGACCTGCCTGCCAGATTGAATGTATGTGAACTACTGCTATTAAATGTTTGTTCCTCTCAATGCTAGAAATTACATGTTTTTTCCACCATAAATCAATGAGAAACTTAGTAAGTCTCTACTGACCTGAGCATTTGCGTTGCTAGTTTCGACTTGATTCTTAAGGTCTGTCGAAATAGAAATTAACGATTCTTTGATTGCAACTGTCCTGTTTTCCATATCTGGTTCAATTTGTACTCGGATTTTAGTGCCATATAATTTTGTAATAATATAAGTTCGAAATTATTTTGGGGGGTAATAGAGCTTCCGCATGGTTAAGGTGTCTTTTTGAATATTTGAGATAACTTCAGGTGTCAAATTTATGTCTTTTCTCTTCTGAAATCCTATATGAGGACCTCCGTAATGAGTTGGGGAAACATTATGTACAGTCTTACTGTTTTTTCATTCATATTTTTGTATTTACGAACCAACTTTTACGAATTACCCAAATTTTTGCCATTTTTCGTGTATATTAGCCCAGGGATCTGTCATCTTTGGGACACCCAAATTTTTTTTGGGGCACTTAAATTTTTTTCGTGAGTTGGGAAAGCATTACGTATAATCCTGAAAAAACTATATGAGGACCTAAAAAAAAATTTCTGAAAAAAAACTTAGAGGTGTTCGATCATAATCCTACACACAGTATCCACCACAACACAACATGTGGATCCTGGACGGGTATTGTGCAGCATTGCACCCAACCACCATGCATCGTGCACCACAACACATCGAGTCGGCAACATACGAATGCCTAACCTATGCAAAAATCAAAAGGGAGTGAACATAAGGCCACACTTCATGCATAACAATGTTTTCTTGGGCCAGCCAGATCTATTTTCATCGCCTCTGCCTAGTTTTTAACCCACATTGTTCAGGTCAAAAACTAGTAGAAGCTAAATCAACAAGCCAATTGTCATGTGACTATTTGTTTGCTAATACTATGTACCTCGTTTGCTACAATTGATTATTCAATATTAAATTGACATTCATATCCGCATTACCAAGGTATTTCGAACTCAAAATCCATTTTGTTTCATTAGGTTTTTACTAAAAAGGAATAAAATTACTCAGCCAAATTGGGGGAAATTCAAAATTGGATGGTTTAAAAGACGTTTATAAGAAAATCGGCTCAGTCAAATCGCCATTCGGCAGTTTGGTCGCATAGATCGCAAAAAACTACCCAAATTCAATTTTTTTTTGCTTAAAACGGACATCGGAGGCCAAAGGTATGAGCATTTGAAGTTTCACCATTTTACAACTACTTTTTCTAGTTCCACTCCTTAATTTGGTTTGCCTTTATATCTTATTGAATTTTTATCTATATAGAAGAATAGTTACACTGTATTTTTTTTGTTTTAGTTGATTTTTTATTTTAAATTTAAAAGTGAGGCCTGTAAGCCTCATTTGTTAAAATATTCGAAAATCGCGTAAATGTATTAATAGCGATCATGATCTGCTAGTTCTTGCTAATTTATTTAGATATTTTTATTTTAAATAATTATAAATATAATTCATGTGCGACTTTCTTAAACTTGTTATAATATTCTTGGCCTTGTTTTGCTTGTGGGGGGGAGGGGTGGCCTTAGGGCACGGTAGGGGGCCTCGAGATGGGTGGGACCTCGGGGCGGGTGGGGCCTCGAAGCGAGCGGGGTCTCATGGCGGGTGGGGCCTCGGGGTGGGGGGCTCGAAGCGGACTTGGCATGGGGGCGGGGGCCTTGGAGCTGGTTGGGGTCTGCCTCAAGGGTTTCGTTATTTTTTTGTAAAAGAAATCATTTGGAATCTAACACACAAAATATTTAAAAAATCGCCTGAATCCTGTATATTGGCCTCTATATGCCCATAAATGTGTAAAATGGTGAGATTGTACGTACCGCTCGCCCAACTCACTAACGGAGGGGGTCATGGTGGTGGTGACAATTGATCCCACCATTTTCTCAAATAACTATTTTTCATGTGTGTGCTATTTCACCTATGGTTATTATTTAAACATTTTCCTAGTGCCAACTTTTTGATTATTAGATACATTATCACAATGTTGACATGACGTAATTCTACTCATGTCTTGACCAATTCAACTATTATTAGTAATTAATATTTTTTTAATACACGACGACATATTTATCCGTTGATCAATATCGTCCATGATTCAAACGATAAAATTATAAGTTCAAAATATGGATCTAGGGGAGATCGGGGGCTAGGCTGTCACGCCCCGAGCTACCCCCGAGACGCGAACACGGGACCTAGGACCACAAGTGATCCCAAGCTAACCCTGCTGGCATGATCATGAGCATACTAAAGATAATAAACTGATGCAGAAGCTAAATCATAAATAAATCTGAAAAGATGGGGGATACCCATATACTATAACTGAATATATCAAATCTAGTTTAATACAAAAGAAATATCAAAGTCAAAACACTAAGCTGAATCTAACTATGTCTGAATTAAGCCTCTAAACTGACTAGAAATGTTGGGACATGCCCCAACTAGATCTAGCAAAACTGAAACTAAAGACTAAAAGCAGTAAGGATAAACATGTCACTAGTCCTCGAAGAATGAGGACTCACCACTGATGCTGCTGAACTGAAGATCGAGAACCGATCTAAGCGTGATCTGGATACTGAGAACCTGAACCTACATCACGAGAAGATGTAGCGCACGTATGCGTCAGTACTTGAAAGGTACTGAGCATGCAGGATAGAGTAAAGCTGAAAGAACATATAACTGAACAAAGCAATAAAGCAATGAAATAATCTGAACATGATATAGATACTGAATACTGAGCTAACTGAATGCAATGACCAATTTATAACATGCTGACTAAATACTGAATGAGCTGTAAATGTGGTCAATGCAATAGACTCTTGACTGAACTGTGGGAGCTACTAATAACCGACATAAAACCACATGAGCTAAATGTGGAGTCCGATGTATACGCCCCATCGAGAGGACCCAATATACCCTGCCAGAGGTATAGAGGCATGCTGGCGTGATCACTAAACTGATGTTGCCCACAGAGGGGACTTACACCTACGTGGCTCGTAGTTCTGGGACTATATGGGTACGCTGAAACCCTAGTCCAACTCGGTATTATGCTACTCCCAATGAATTAAGTAGTTAACTGGTTATGACTGAATTTCTGTAAATACTGGATAGCTCGAATTGAACGTGCAAACTGAGAATGCAACAATTAATCTGATAATGATGCATTCATAAACTGAGGCATGTATAACTGAATACTGGAATATCTGACCTAGCATGTGTAATTCAAGAACTAAAGAAATACATAGCTAGGGTTCTGAAATTCATGCGATAAACTGAGCAATAACATGATAATCTGATTTGAAACATTTAAATAACTAATTTATGATGATCTGCTATAATTCTAGAAACCCTAGGTCTGTTCATAATCATGGAATCAAGAATCTGACTGAATTCTAGGGACCTAATGGGCGAAAGGAACCCACTGGTGAAATCCCACATACCTGGTGACGAATTCCACGGAGAAATCTTTCGATTTCGGGGCTGGAACTAAAGAAACCTCGCTGCGTTCTTGAACTAGGGTTCTTGACCTTTTTCTCCTCTCTTGCTTCTAATTTTCTAAGTTTGATTTATGATTTTGACTAAGGTAAGTTCTAGTTATGTTTCTAGGCTTAAACTAATTAAAACCTCATGATTTAAGGTCTAAACGACGTATCTTAGGGGTTAAACGAAATAGGAAAAGACCAAAGGACCCCTGAATTAACTGCTGTCGGAGTGACCTATGGATTGGACCTACGGGCCGTAGGTCAATCTACGGTCCGTAGATTGCGTCCGTAAGTCAAGCCTGTTCGACAGGCCTTCACTAAAACGAGCACAACTTTTTACTCGGAGGTCAGAATTTAGCAGACTTGGCGGCGTTGGAAAGAGAATTAAATTATCTATCTAACCATAGGTCATGGGACACATAATTCATTTTGTGCTAAAAGTTATGACCATCTGAAGTTGACCCATCAGAATTTTCAGCTAACTGGCTGCTAACCTTCGATCTACGGTCAGACCTACGGACCGTGGATCGAATGATGGTCCGTGCTGGTCAACCGTAGTTCGGGACTGAAGCTGGGCTTTTGGGGCATCGATCCACGGACAAGAACTACGGTCCGTGACCTGACTTACGGACCGTAAGTCCGGCCGTGGGTCAACACTTAGCCAAATTTTCTGACTGAGTTCTGGGGAAGTTTTCTGTCACGAACCACGGACCTGCAGGACGGACCGTGAGTCCATCTACGGTCCGTGGATGGTGTCCGTGAGTGCCACCTGTAACACCAGAAATCTGAAATCTCTATTTTCGGATACGGGGTGTTACATTATCTCCCCCTTGGGACCATTCGTCCTCGAATTAAGACTAAACTAGCTGAAATAGAGGGAGAGGGCTGCAATCCCTACCACTAAACACTGAGAACTGAATTTTTGACTGTACTGAGTTCCAAGGACATGCAAATACGCTGAAAATGCAAGTACAAACTGAAGGAACATGATTCTAAGACTGAATTTTCGCATGAATGACTAAAAAACTGATGAGGAACTATTACCTCAAGCTGGAATGGTATCGGAAGGAAAGAGGTGAGGATACTTGGACTTCATGGCTGCTTCTGCTTCCCAAGTAGCTCCCTCTACTGACTGACTCCTCCACAAAACCTTGACTGAAGCGACTTCTTTATTTCTCAACCTTCTAACCTGACGATCGAGAATCTCAACTGGTACACTCCTCATAAGAAAGACTATCTTTCACGGCCACACTCCCTAATGGCACTATGGATGCTGGATCACCCACACACTTCTTCAAAAGAGAAATGTGAAAGACTGGATGCACTGCTGCTAAGTCTGCTGACAACTCTAACTCATAAGCCACTTTACTAATCCTTTTCAAGATCCGGTAAGGGCCTACATATCTGGTACTGAGCTTCCCTTTCTTGCCAAATCTCATCACTCCTTTCATAGGTGACACTTTCAGGAAAACCCAATCATCAACTTGGAACTCT